CACATCCTCTCACCCTCCCCAAAGTCCAGAGTCGTGAGATCCTCAGTCTTGCTGTCACCACAATTCTCCGGGTTTCACTTTCCTTTAATGTTGGACTCAGTAAGTTGGTAGGATAGTTTCTGCCTTCACATCCAGGCAAGAAAGCATCAAGAGAGAGCAAGAAATTTCTCTACTTGCATTCTCTTTTAGGAGCAGGGCAACATCTTCCGGAAGCCTCCCAGCAGATATGCCCTTGAGTCTCCACCATACTTGGGTTACACCCCCATTTGTTTACTCACTGAGAAGATGGGGCTATCCTGATTGGCTTAGATGCCTCAGGATCCACCCCTGGAGCAGAATGCGGTCACCCACTTGAGCGAAAGAGAAGAGTGCCAAAATCCAAGCTCAGATTTTGTTGGGTAGGAAAAAGGACAGAATCAGTATAGAGCGGGCAACCACTAAGTCTTCATAGATCTCAGTAACACGGTGGGGTGAAAAAGTGAATAAAAATACTACACATACGTACGTATACACAAGACAGCTAAGATAACGGTACTACTAATTTCTATTGGTTTACTGAAAGGAACAGTTACTGCTTAATTGTTTGATCAGTTTTACACACCTATATCTGGTAATCTGAGCAACTACTTTGAAGATAACAATGTGCAATATAGCAACCATTGTTAATTTCCTATCCTCTGGTTTAGAAATTCTGTATATCATTTTTATTGTTTTTCATTCTCTTTAAAATTAAAGAAGTCACTTGCTTAAAAATAAGAAATGAAGATGTATTCATTTTATTTGAAAGTTTGTGCTTTATTTTTTCTTAAGCAGAAGACAGTCTAAGATATTCACTCTTGAGGATGACATTAGTCACAAATTCAGATTATTCTTAACAAAATATCATTCTAAATATCTATCTTTATGTACCAATGTTAATGATTTTCACCATAATTTTCCAGGTGCTTTAGCAGTATTATAGTATTTTTATGGTGGCTAGCCTACTTTATGCACTCTAGATTTTTAAAAAATTCATAACCAAAATTGTATATATAAATTTCAGAGCAGTACTGTAATGATTAATATACCTGGTAGAGCTTGGGATATGAATTTTTAATGAAGCCTTTTAACGAGGCAATAATCAATCAACAAGAAAACTCATATTAGTTTATTTGCTTAACCAGTGACCACTTAGAATCTCTTTCAGGTATGATATCCTTTCAATACTATATGAGCTACACAAATCTGCTTCTTAAAAACAAAGTAAGTGATGACATCGTTAGTGCCATAGAAATAATCAAGCATAAAAAAAAAAATCCAGTCTCTCCTTGCATTTCCTCTCCACCTCCTTCAAAAACTAATAAAACAGGATCCACCCCTGATATTCCCAGACACAGGCAGCTATTTGATGCTTGACAAAGAGGCCAAAATCATACGTTGGAGGAAAGACAGCCTGCTCAGCAAGTGGTGCTGGGAAAACTGGTTTCCTGTTTGCAACTGATTTAAATTGAAAGATTGAAATTGGCCATATCTCTCATCACAAACTAAGTTAAAATTAAAATGGATCAAAGATATAAACATTAAAATAGAAATATTAAACTTATTGGAAGATAAAATATGTAAAACATTTTTTTGGGGTTTTTTTGTTGTCTTTTTGTACCAGGAATTGAACTCAGGACCTTGCACTTGCCAGGCATTCACTTGTGCCACTGAGCTATATCCCTGGCCTGGTAAAACATTTAAAGACACAGATGTAGCAAAGGATTTTCTTTTTTTTTGTGGAACCAGGGATCAAACTCACGACCTTGCGCTTGCCAGGCAGGTGCTTATGCCACTGAGCTATATCTCCAGCCCCTGGATTTTCTAAACAGAACCCTAATTGCACAAGAAATAATAGCGAGAATCAACAAATGGGATCATATCAGACTAAAAACTTCTGTACTGCTAAAGAATCCATCAGTGGAGTGGAGAGATAACTTGCAGAGAGGGAAAAAGCTTTTTGCCAGTTACTCCTCAGGCAGAGGACTAATATCTACAATATATAAAGAACTAAAAAAAAAAAAACTGATCACCTAAAATTAAAGACCCAGTTAAGAAATGGACAAGTGAAATGAACAGATATTTCACAGAGGAAAAAGTACAGATGGCCAACAAATATATGAAAAAATGTTCAACATCTCTGGCCATTAGAGAGATGCAAATTAGAACAAGGCCAAGATTTCATCTTACTCCAGAGAGCATGGCAATCATCACAAAATCAAAAACCAAAAAATACTGGCATGGCTGTGGTGAAGAAGAAACACTCCTACATTGTTCCTAGAAACATAAGCTAGTACAACCATTATGGAAATCAGAATGGAGATTTCTCAAAGGACTAAAATTATAAATTCCAAATGATCTAGTTATTCCCCTTCTATGTGTCTTCTCCAAAGAGCTTAAGACATTATACTACAGTGATGCATACATACAAATGTTTATAGCAGCACAATTCATAACAGCTAAGTTTAGGAAACAACCTCTATACCCACCAACAGATGACTGGGTAAAGAAATTGTGGCATGTGTATAAAAATGGAATATTACTCAGCTATGAAAAAGGACAAAATTGAGACTTTTTTTAGGAAAATAGATGCACCCCAAAAATATAATGTTGAGTGAAATAAATCAAATGCACAAACTTAAATACCATATGGTATCTCTCATCTGAATAAAGTACAATCCAAGAGAAAATAATGGAAGAATAGGATTTGACAAGGAGGTGGGTCTCTTCCAGGTAGGAAAATGTCCAGCTGACCAAGGGTGACAGGTAAAGGGGAAGGCATGAGTAAGTAGGTAGAACAAAGACATGCTCAGTACAAGGTCCTAATAACCTCAGTGAATGTGGACATTTCATGCCATAACTCTGAACTAAGATTAACAATATTAATAAGAATGTAAAGGGGGGAAAAGAGAACTAGAGGAAAAGGGAGGGAGGAGGAAGGAAGGTGATTAAAAAAAAGAAACAAGCTGTGTTACATCCATGTACCAACTCCCCAAAATGACTGTAAAATGCACATACTGCAAAGATGTACAAATGCAATAAAACTTTACAAATAAATAAAACATGAAAACAAAAATTTTAAAGGAAAGCAAACATAACAAAAGAATAAAATAGTTGCTAAAGCGTGCAATCCCTTCCCGTGCACCTAATGCATCTGCAGGTCAACTGTGTGAAAGTTCAATGAAGGACTGGAAGTCAGACAATGTCCACTCGCAGAAAGCCAAAGCACGTGACAAAAAGCCTAATTCCTTGTCTCCCTCTAGAGATTATGCCAACACTTGTACCCTTCTTTCTGTCAGAACGCAGCACCGCTGAGCGCCACAAGGAGAGCACACTAAAAACAAAGATGAGTCACTTTTGCCATGCCTGACGGGTTCCATGCTTTTCTAATCAGAGGTCGCACACTGTGACCCAGGATAATGTTTGGCAGAATGAACACAAATGCCCTTAAGGGATGCACGCGCTTCCCATTCCAGTTGTTAGCTGTCTGGACCTTGGAGGTATCTGTGTTTGTTCTACTACAAATTACTTCAAGCTTATGAGACTTATGCTTTTAGTTAATATAGAAGTGGTACCATTTTCCATCTTCCACTCATTTGGTAAAGAAAAACCCCCAAATGCTGTGAAATATTGAAATAGTTCCAGAAGCATGGCTGTTGAAAGATTCAGTGTGAATGTGCACTTCTGCATGAAGGCAGATTACTGCTGTAATTTTCTTAACCAGCTGGTGCTGGAAAGGACAAACGCAATATGCCAGCACCGAGTTATCAATGCATAATGAACTGAGTACAATTATTAAAAAGCCACATTATTAAAAGTTGGCAACAACCTGCTGACTAGAGAACCATAATGACGACCTGGCTTTGCATTTTAGTTGAGTCTTACTTTTTTGCTTGGAAAGAGTTTGGAGCTCCACACCTCGCCTGCACTATGAGGAAGGGGATGAGCGAGTACTTCCTTCTAAACCCTATCCTTGAAGAGAAGCTTCAAAGACCACATTTTGTGTCCCTGAGGTCTGTTCCTTGCAGTTGTGGACTTGGTGGCCTGGTGCCTAATGCTTCTTGAGGAAGCTAAATCAGCTTGAGTAGCAACTGGGCTCAACACCCCTTGACCTCTGACTTCAAGAGGAACATGGATGAGTCCTGGGACGTGGATGTGGGACCGCTGTAAGAATGCTGAGCTGGGACACTACAAGGGGTTCTGCTCCAGGGCGTAGTTTGCCAAAGTCCAGAGATCCTTAGTTGCAAATGGCTTTGGGATAAAAGTAAGGTGAGGTCAGGCATGACCAGTGAACAGGAGCTCGTGTTGAAAAACCCTAGCAAGGAAGTTTCTGACTAACCCATAAGGAGAAGAGTCAGCTTGGAAGATCTGCTAGTACCAGAAACATAAGCAAAAGTAACCATGTCTTCCTTGCCTGTCTTCTACCTCCATCCTTCCCACTCCATACCAAACCTGGAGGAGGCTGGGTGCAGGCAAGGGGGCAGGAAACCAGCCAACCACACTGCCCTAGTTAATAAAGAGGGCCAGTAGTCATCTGCAGGCAGCCCTCGCTGTGGCTGAGAGAGCCTGTGTGTCCCATTTGTGAATGAAGAATGACAGCTGATTAATGTGCTCCTATTTATGAATGGGGCTATGACTATGACCCAATGGACTACAGGATTTGTGTGTTACCTAGGAGGAGAATCACAGCACTGTCCAAATTTTCTTCTGGAATCCAAGGAAGAAATAGTCTTCATTGAACAATTTGCCAGGACATTGGAGACAGGAGTAAAATTGCACACTAACAGAATCTCAGAGATTGTCTTTACCCAAGATCCCAGATATATATTTATTTGATATACAGATCCCAGCTACATATGCACCAGATATTTAGGTTATATATGCTTAAATAAAATAATAATACTTCGAAATATTAATTCTATTTAAAAACATGAAAGTGAAATAATTTAGTTTATTAATTTAAAGATAAAATATACTATTACCTTGTTATGATGAAGCCATAAGTATTTTAATTTTCTAAACCTAGAAAGATCAATGACCTCTGTCAGTTCCCTGGAAATAAAAAAATTGAAAATTAGCAAGGATTAATTCACTCATCAGTAAGGCTGTTTATAGAGGTAGGATGGCTTGATGTAACTGGAAAGGCCTTTCTGTGCTTTCAAAATTGGTGGCACATTGCCTGCTAATTTTTGAAATTTGTCATGATCCCTTTGCTCATGTGGGCTGAGATTTCATTAGCTCATCAGTGCTAATACATACTTAAAGAAGAGCATGTTATCACGTTAGCAGAAATTCACATCTGACAATAACCAAATTTACTGCAACCTCATTTCAAAACAGATTTTACTGGGGAAAGGGCAGAGGGAGAAAAGAAAGTGAAGAAGTATTGGATTTTTATGCAAATGTAGAAAAACACAATCGGCTCTTGCTTCAGAATTTTCTGTAGGGTTTTTACTTTGGCGGCAGTCCTGATCTTAACCAGATCAGACTTACAGGATGAAAACTGCAGGACACCAAGTGGCAGAGAAGAGTGCTTGTTTATTAGCTGCAGAGTCAGTATATTCCCAACCCTCATTGGACTGTGTGGGATTCCAGCTGTCCATGTGGCCTAGTCTTTGTTTGATACAGCTCAGTCAGCAAAGCAGCAGGTGCAGGGGATTCAGAGGGCCTGTCAGCAAGAAGGGCAGGGCCTCTGAGGAGAGCTGGCTATCTGACCGATGTGGCCTAGAGTTTGCAGATCTCTCACTTCTCAGTGTAGTACTGTGGGTCCCAAGTGCTTACATATGCATGTTTCTTTTATTTATCACTTATAGCACACACTGTAACACCATGTCACAATTACTTCTAATCTCAGTACCTTGGGAGACTAAAAGTTTCCTAATTTTTATGGTAACATACATTTTTTAAAACAGGCAAACAATATTTCTGAGCAAAAACTTTTCTAACCAATTTTTATATGGACAGATTTAAAACCTAAGAAAAGTTGAAGGAACGAACACTACAAGAACCTTGGTAATTTTTAACATATTGCCACATTTTTCTCACTCTGTTTGTGTAATAGATCTGATATATAATATATGTTTAGGTTGATAACTTTTTTGGTGAGTTGTTTAAAAATAATCTACAGGTTATTACTGTAGGTTTGTCACTTCTGAATAATTCAGTATGCATATCCTACAAATCAGGCCATTCTTCTACACGTTCATAATGCCTTTATCACATCTAAAAAGATAAAGTTGAATTCCATAGTGTCATCTAACTGACCATTCACATTCAGATTTCCCCACTGATCCAACATTTCTTTCCATAGTTTGTTCCCCTGAATCCCATCAGCATTCACACATTACATTCAATTTACACAATCTTCCATTCTTTTACAATTATGTCACCTTTTTTACCCCACTAATACTGAACTTTTGAAGAGTTCAAGAGAGTTTTCTAAAGGAATGCCCCATGTTTTTGATTAGTCTCATAGTTTTCTCATAATTAAATTCAAGACTGATCACTTCTCAGTTACACTGGTGGTAATCACCACTCATAGCAGATGCCAGTTCATCCTACTCTTGGTGAGGCTAAGTTGAGTCATTTGGTTAAGGTGGCATATGTCAGGGCTCTTTATTATAAAAGTGCAAATTTTATAATCACGTAGTAATATGTGTGCCTGAACTCTGATCCTACATGAAGATTGTGTTTGTTTTGAATAAATAAACACTATTTATTCAATGATGGTATCTTCAGCTGATGACTCCTACCTGCAGGAGTAGATTTGGGATGATAAAGTGACGGTTTTTATAATTTCCTCATTCTTTTTGCATGCATTAATGGATATTAAAAGGTACCTGCCCATTTCTTCTCTTTCTCTCACCCATTCTCTTCCCATCCTGTCTGGATTTACAGAGACCTTTTCTTAATTCTTATCAATTTTTAAAAAATTCTCAAATTACCCAAGCTGAGCAACTTTTAAAGAACTCCTCTGTCTTTTTGACATGTGTCATTAGTCTTGGTGCGCTTCCCTAGCCCAACAAACTACTCTACTCTCCTCTAAAGCAACTTGCAGTTGGAAATTTACACACCTAATATGTATTCTTTTACTGGGGTTCTGTGGTCTACTTCTTGGAAAAGCACTTGGACCTCGGTGGGCCTTAACTCTCTCTCACATTGGCAGTAATGGGAGCACATCAGCTCCGCCTCTTATAGAGATGAATAAAAAGCAGTTGTTTTGTGGTAGCCTCAAGGGATCTCAGGAGGCACTTAGATTTCCCACAAAATTTATTTTAATACGTGAATACCTCAAAATGTTAACTGTGCTGTTATTAATTTTTTTGTACTAGTAATACCAATGCTGAATTTTCAGCTGTTAGACAATGTGTGATTCTCTTTTTTGAGGGAATGTTAGCTCTTTTAATTTGGAAAGGTTTGTTCTGCTCATAAAAACCTGTGCTAAGTCAATTATGAGCTGCCACATTTTAAGGTGAAGCTGATTGAAGACAGTGAGACTAATTCTACCACCAATGATGGCAATGACGGGCTGACAATAATATGGCAGCTATCCTCACAGGGTATGCATTCCATGGTTACTCAAGGAGATACTGATGAAACCCTTCTCATTTTCCAAGGGCAACAGAGATTTCAGGAAATGGCCATTTCATTTTGTTTATTTGCCTCTGGACTGTAAAATATTTTCCCCCAGCTAAATTAAATGGTAATCTAGTATTCCAAGGCTATAAAAGGTATTGTTCATCATATAAGATCATTAAATATCATGTCTATGACTGTCAGTGAGTCATTGGTTGATTAGCTTTGTATGTCTACATGTGTTTTCATGAGAAACTACATTGAAGATATCAATATGTAATACAATAAGCATTGTTAATTCCCTACCACTCTGTTTGTAACTCTGTAATGTCTGTACTGATCCTATGCTATTTTGTAAAATGTTGTAAAAAGAAAATAAAATAAATATCATGTCTATGGTCAGAGGATCAATATTGTATATTGCTTTTTTTTCTAATGTTTTAAAACTATTCTATCTACCCACTCCAGTGATCAATAGTGTAAAAGTTGTGTAAAATTGCAATAAGATTAGATATGAAACCTATGGAGCCTATAAACTATTTATGATTATTGTAAAATTGACCTATGAAAAGGACCAAAGCATTACCTTAAGCCTGTCTGAATTCTTTATTATATTCGTTGCATTCTACAATATGTACGTGTTGAAAATTTCAAATTACGTGGCCTTCCTGCCAAGAGATTTGGGGGGCTGCCTCAAAGATGAACTTTGTTTTCTGTACTAATACATTAAGAATAAATACTTAATTATAGCAAAATAAACATGTTTATTAATAAAGAATTTACCTGAATCACTAGAGATAAAATTGACCAAGTTCACTGATAACTAGGGCATTTTCTTTATGAAGAAGCTGAATTTCAAAGATTACATATGAGTAAAAGTATGACAAGCATATTTTAAATAAAACGTAGAATTCACAATCACTGAAGAACATGAAAGAGGAAGATGAAGAGCAGAAATGAGTTTGAACCCTTTCTGTGCTGTGTGATGGTGAACCTGCACTGTCAACCTGACTGACTGGGGAGCCACCCAGGGGGTCAGTGAAGCACATGTCTGTGTGGCTGGCTCATGGGAGGGTGTCTTTTGGGTCTATATTTGGTCACTGGACCCTTCCTCCCCGGCACTGTTCTCCTGTTCTACTTCTTGCCTACTGAGAACTAAGTAGCTTTGCTCTACCACATCCTTCTGCCATGATGTTCCTGCCTTGGAGTAGCTGATAGTGTTTTTTTTTTTTTTTTTCCGTATTGGGGGTCAAACTCAGGACCTTGCACTTGCCAGGGAAGCCCTTGTGCCTCGGAGCTATATCCACAGTCCAACAGCTGACAATGGACTGAATCGAAACCTCATGGTCAAACCTCTCCTTTAAGTAGTGGGTATTGGGAATTGTATCTCAGCGCCAGAGAAGCTGACTAGTACATGCTGCCATGACAGAATACCTGAGAATGAATAATTTACAGAGAATAGAGATTTGTGTATTATAATTCTGGAGGTTGGGCAGTTAGAAGTCAAGAGGCCCACATCTGGCAAAGGTCTTCTTACTGAATAATAATATGGTGGGGTGGTGGGAAAACTCATTCTTTCACCAGGAACTCACTCCTAGGATAACTATAACCTCCCCATCTTATTCTACCTAGGTTCTACCTCAGGTGCTGGAAGTGCTCTGCAGAAAACTCACTTTGTTGTTTCTCATTTTGGGTAGTTTGTATAGGCCCAAATGGGGGTGTTCATGTAGGAAGGTATTTTCCTATTTATTGGCAAGATTAATATAGGAATTGTTCCAGATTATAGCATAATAAGGGTTATTATAGGAGTATAATGGATCATGATTTCTAATAATAGTAAATATTAACAGATCATTGTGTGCTCACTGTGTACCAAGACCTCTTCTTTTACTAACTCACCTAATCTTCACACAACCACATGAATGAAGTAATACTTTTGTACATAGGAAATTGAACTGCAAGATAACATACAGTATAGCAGTTTGCACTTGATTTTCAGAGAAACAAGAAATTTTCTGAATATTGTGTGGGACATACTTATACTAAAGAAATTGTACTCATTGTTTGTCTAAGATTTAACTTTAAATTTATAAATATAAATTAATATAACTTAATTTATATTTTTAATTTGCTAAAAATGACAATCCTAATAGAGAGACCGTATAATATCTCAAGATCATCCAACTGGAAAAGATAGAGCTGGAATTCAAACTCAACTTAGCTCGTTAATCTTTGTTTTTATCCATTTCAATATCCTGCCTCTCCAACAAAAATGGTGGACTCCTCCAATAATAAAGTAATTAGAATGAGGTTGTCTATCCAGTCTGTGAGGTGGAAGAGGAACTGGAAAAGAACATTTGAGCCTATGGACGATTATAACATGATACTCTTTTGTTTTTTAAACATAAAGTACACTTACTTTTGAGAGAGGAACAGCTCAAAGACATCAGCATCCCTCTTGTAGCCACATATCTTTAGCTGATCTTCAATTGCCTGATAACATATAATTAATCTGTCAAACCACATTCCAATGAGCAAAAATACTGAGACATTTGCAGCCAATGACAATAGATCTACAAGAAGATCAAAGAAAGGTGAATTTGGAGGCAACCACTCTAAAATGATAAATTCCAACACTACAATTATATATTATTTGCTCCTTTTTGTGGTTGAATTTCATTATTCTTAATCCTAGACAGATTTGGGGCAGAGATGTGTAAATAATTTTTAATCAGAGAGAAAAAAAATGTGTTTGCATACATGTACACCAAAAGCAAGTTTTTGATTGTCTGTGAGGCAGGGTAATTGGTTTTAAAAAATTAGTCTTAAATGTTCTTTCAAACATGAATAATTAACATTGTATAGGATTTCTATATTTATAAAGACATCTATTATTAGATTGGAAGTAGATGGGATAGGATATAATATATATCGTTATGACAAATTCTTTTTATCGTTCACCATACCATGCTTGACACCCAGTAAATTTTCAAATGTCAAACAAATGAGTGAATAAATTCACTTTTCTCTGAATAAATGAATAAATGTATTTTCCTTTGTTTGCAAGTAAGAAAATCTGCATTTTTCATGAGTTATTAACAAAGTCATAATGTGGTAATTTTTGTGAAGAAACAGCAACTGTTTTTCCCATAGATTTTTCTTGGAAAGTACAAATCTAGCAACAGCTACTGAAGTGCTTCTTCCTGAAGTTTGCTTACTAATTTACAAAATAACATTTGTAGGCCACGTGACTTAAAATGATATGGAAAAATTAGTGCCTATCTTTCCACAAAAGAGCAGAGCTAACAAGACAACATAAGTGAAAGGTATAATTGTTGAAATTCTGGAATATAACAAATACTAAATGATCAGAATCAAAATAATCACCAAATTTCAGCTGGGATTTATTGTGAGTGGGAGATTGTAGTGTCAGGGGAATTTTTTTTCACATTTAGTAGAGAGCTTTAGGGAGAGTTAAATTTGGTAGTATGAACAAATATTGAAAGCAGTGAGTAAGGTAGGTCCTGCTCATAGAAGACCACTATAAAGTTACAGTTCTAAATTCCTTGGAGAGCTTGTTAAGCAAGCTAAATCCAGCGGCTTGGACAGTTTATAGTCTCAGGCTCAGGTATTCTTCTCAGGGTGTTTTCTTACAAGCTGAATCTTGGAAAACTCACTGGACCAGGTTTAGCTGTTCTTGTCTAGGTATTTTTACTTTAACTATCTCCACTTTCTGCCTCTGCTGTGTATAGTCAATCACAACTTTCCAACTTTCTGGGTGGTTGATGCCAGTCAAAATAGAGTTAAAATTATGCAGTTATCTGTTAAAATTATGAGTATACTTTTTCTGAATTGAGAATTCTATTTTTACTTGATTTAAGTTTGTACCTTTCAATGTATGTGTTCTTGTACATAATGGTGACATTCATGGTAGGGAGCTGACACTTGTACATAACTCAGCTTAATTCTTTTCTCATCCATTTTGCCTCTTCTTCCCTCCCTCCTTTCTCCCTTCACCCTTGGTCTCCTTCCCATTTGTAAAAGTTCTATCTCCCTGTTTCCTATTTTCTTTCTTTTATTTTGCTTTTTACTTATACTTGAGTTTCTCATATAAGAGAAACCAACTTTATCCCTATTCACCTCCATTACTCAGAAACATATATGTATGTACACAGAGAAAATGTATTATTGTTTAATTCAGCATGCCTTACCTGTGGTTATGAAATATTCCCAATAATTGCAGCATAGATTAATGTGTGACCTTACATTGTGCAGAAGTTTAAAAACATAGAGATCATGTGATGGTTAATTTTATGTGACAACTTTACTGGGCTAAGGGAGGGTCAGATAGCTGGTAAAACATTTTTCTGGGCATGTCTGTGCATGTTTCTGGAAAAGGTTGGCATTTGGATCATGAAACGAGTAAAGGAGTTCACCGAGCTGGGTGGGCATCACCAATCCATCAAGGGCCAAAAACAGAACAAAAAGGCAGGGGAAGGACAAATTCATATTCTGTTTTGCAACAGAGTCATGCGTCTTCACCTGCCTGCAGACCTGTGCTCAGCTTGAGGGCTTGGGCTACATTATACTCCTGGCTTTCCTGAACTACCTGCTTGTAGCCAGCAGACTGTGGAACTTGTAAGCCTTCATAATCAAGAAGCCAGTCCCCCATAATAAGTCTTCCTCAGTATTTATATGTCCTCTTGGTTATGTTTCTCTAGAGAATCCTAAAACTGTTAGGCATCTAGACATATACAAATATGCAAAATAGGGGCTGAGGATTTAGCTCAGCTGCACAGCGCCTGCCTGGCAAGTGCAAGGTTGTGAGTTTGATTCCTGGTACCAGAAAAAAAAACCCAAAAAACCCCCAAAAAACCCACAAATATGCAAAATAAGTTTTTATGTAGAAAAGTAATGGGCAGTGTAATCTGTGTAAGTGAAGCAATGTTTTTATTGAAAATAAATCTATATGCCTACAAAGTGTACACACTCCCAATTCTTAGTGAAAGTCATCACTTGAGATTGTGAAGGAGTTTTACTTTTTAGGCACATGTTTTGTTTTATGAAACAGGTTCTTCCTGTTTATGGGTGCTTCCCACTTTATGGGTTCAAATGATTCTCCTGCTTCAGCCTCAGCTCCTGAAGCTGAGAATGTAGGTGTGCACAATGCCCCTGGTTGCAGGTAATATATTTAAAAATGTTTGAATATTTTATAATAAACACATATTAATTTGATAATCAGAAAGCATTACTTATTTTGAAAATTTTAATCACTGAATAAAGATTTAAATCTTTATTAATAGAAGATATAAAAGAAGGAACAGAAAGTAACTGCATAATCTATAAATGACTGGCATCATTAATCACTCACAAGACTCTGTACCATGGAATGTTTCTTTCCGATCAATAATTTTGTCTGAAGTGTACAAAGCACTAATATCAAAGTGCCAGGGAACATGGAAACATTCCAAGCAGTTTCAGGCTGCAGTGACCCTGCGGTGGGGCAGCTTCAGGTGCCCGTCCACACCCGGCTTTCCTGGTGGCACGCCCACTCCTGCAGCTAAAGAAGCACAAACAGCTCCTCTGCCCTGCTAGTTTTTGTGTTGTAAAATATACATGCTGTAGAATTTGCCATGTTACCATTTTTTTAGTTTATAAACCTGTGGTATTAAGTGCATTCACAGGAAGCACATTCCCATTTCTGTGGGACTCACACACCATCCGTTTCCAGAACTTGTCCTCTGTAACTGAAGCTCTCCACCCCTTACATCCTGACTTCTCACTTACTCTGCCTTCCAGCCCGAGGCAACTATCCTTCTACTCTCTCTCTCTCTCTATGGGCTTGAGTACTCTGGGTACTTCACTGAAGTGAATGGTATTTGTCCATGTGTGCCTGGCTTATTTCCCTTAGCATAACATCAAGAATCATTCATATGGTGGCATGTGTCAGAATGCTGTTCATTTTTAAGACTGAGTAATATTCTATTGTAGTTATATACCATGTTTTCTTTGCCCAAGCATCTGTCAGTGGACACTTGGGTTGATTCATGTTTCAGCCATTGCAAATAATGCTACCACGAATGCAGTGTACAACGATCTGTGCAACTTCCTGCCTTGAACTTGGGTATTTCCTTTGGGTGAATACACAGAAGTGGAATTACTGGATCAGACGATAATCTTGAGTTTAATTTTTTGAAAAATTGCCATACTACTTTCTACAGTGACTACAGGCAGCAAGCATTCTTTGAGATGAACGTGTTTAAAAATTGTAAATTCAAACAGATTCCCTCAGCTATTTGTTAAACCATAAACTACGAAGTGCTTAGCTCAGGTTGCGGGTAGTTTGATCTGTCTGTGATGAGCTAGTGAACGTAGCGGGGGGTGGGTGGGTAAGATGCCTGCTCTCCACAAGCATATCTTGTAATGGCAGAAGTAAGGGACATGCAATACTATAAAAGAAGATTGCTAATATTAAGGGCTATAAGAAAACAGAGACACACCCTGGCAAATTCTGAGGAAGAAGATGACTTCAGGGTAGGTCCAACAGAAGGGCCTTTAAGGGTCAGAAGAAAAGTGGGTGTTGAGGGAGGAAGGGAATAAATACATAAAAGAGAAGAGATAGCCTGAAACACATGAAGCCATATAGACTCTCACTGTAATGAAAAGCATGTGGAAGTCAGTTGTAAGAGATAAGAAAGGTAGATTGGGATCATATTATGAGTGCTAACTTTGAGATTTAGGCCCTGGGAGGGTGCACTTACTCAGTACCTAAGAAGAGCTTCTGTAGCCTTGGAGAATTCTAAAATCACATAGTTCATGTACACTAATTTAAAATTAACTTTCTTTTGTACGATCTCTCTCTATATATACATACAGATGAAGTACATATATAGTAGTCAACCACACGGTGAAATCTATGTGAGAAAGTCCAATGGAGCTCTTATATTTCCCATGATAACCACTTCATCCTTTTAAACAATACCCAATACGGACTTATTATGAAAGCATTTCCTTCCTTCTCTTTCAGCGTCCTTGTACGTTGGTACCCTAAAATCAAGTGTTTATTTATGCAATGTCGCAGGATCCAGTTTGGGTGTGTGGCCAAAGGGGCAGACAGGAAGTGAGGCCCCCTGGAGAACACCAAGGCGGGAGCTCATGAGCCCCTCCCGGGCAAGGGCAGCGGGGGCGGGCAGTGAACGGACAGCACAGGCGCGTGTGGGGAGCGCTGCCCGGAACTGACACGTTACTGGAGGGGAAGAGGAAGCACAAAGAAGTCACAGGTGAGATGAAGGGATGAGGACTTGATAATGAGGAGGTGACTTGGACAGAAGCTGGGTCAGCTGAGAAATGCTGAGGTTGAAGCACAGAAGTGAAGACAGCCAAGAGAAAGCTGCCGGTGTCGAGGCAGGTCGCATCCGAGATGTCAGGGAGGGTCTGCACAGCTGAGGAGTTACGGGAGCCAAAGGAGCGTGTGGCTCCTTCTACTGCCCAATGACTTACCATCTAGATACAATAGAGAAATGCTTTTCAATTGTGGGATCATTAACTCCTACAAGTAGAAAGTCTGCATTAAAGTCCGCAGAAGAAAATATCCTCCCTGATGATCAGATCTCATACCTACGTGCAACACACACCATGCATTAGCACTTAGCATGAGTAGCTTTAAATTCATTATAAAACTCTCAGCCTGGTTTAACCTCAGTAGCTGCAAGGCCTTCTGGACAAGTCAGGAGCCTTTTTCTCGGATGGCTCTCCGCAGGAGCATTTGTGTATTTCTGATCACACTTCTGAGAGACACTCAGGAAAGAGAATGTTCAGAACTGCTTCAGAAAGTGGCTAGAAGATGGGATAAGTGTGTTCTAAGTGAGGGAGAGTATTTTGAGGGTGCTTAATGGGAATGTTTTTTGCTGTAATAAATTATTTAAAATATAATCACTGACGGTGTATTTGGATCGCACCTCATATTTGTAGTACATGGATGCATCACAATCTCAGGATTGTGTATATAGTAATGTACATGTAAATGTGTGTTGAGACTCAGGGGTCCTTAATTAGTAGTGTGTTAATCTCTAAACCACCCTCGTTCTAGCTGCAGAGGTTGCTCAGTGGAGGTCAGTCTATTACTTTGGGTTCCCCCAGTCCCCAGTCTCTACCCTGGAGCTGGGGGACCTCTGGCCTGGTGGAGAGACTGGGTGGCGTTTACTGTCACCAACCCGCTGGGCCCAGCCCCGGGGGGGTGGCCTGTGGCTGGCAGGGTGCTGGGGCCGGGTGTCGGGGTCGCTTACCCGGCGGCTGCTGGGCAGGGCAGGCTCTGGGGAACGCGGGGGACTGCGGCGCGGGAAGGCGTGGGACATGGGGTGCGGTTCCAAGTTACCAGGAAGCAGGCGGGGGCGGCACCGTTGACCCGCGAGGCCCATTGTTCCGTCACCAGAGTGTGTGGCTTGCCGAGGTCTCTAAGCCGATCCCCGCGGGGAGACCCGCGGTCGCCGCCTGGCACTGAGGGTGGCACTGAGGCGCCCTCGGGCTTCCGGGCAAGGACAGCTAGCGAGGGGGTGCTCCGCCCTGCCCAGGCGAGAGCGGGCCAGAGGGCTCCGGGGAGGCGCCCGGGACCCGTTTCCAGGACTGGAGATGCGAGCATAGGCCGATGCAGGCTCCTGAAGAGGAGAGGTGTGACCACCCGGCGCTGCACAGGGTCCCTGCCAGGGGAAAGAAGTTCTACTGCTCCCGTGTTACTGCATTAAGACACATTTTAAAGGCCGAGTTTCTGGCGCCCCCCTACACCCTGCACCACGGCCCGCAGTCGCTTGCCTCGTGGTGGACCCAGACCCACGATGGAGGCAGAGGCGGCCCTATTAAGGCTCCGCACGGCTCCACGTACACAGAAAAATGGAACTTGCTGCTCAGTGTGTTGGCTAAGAGCAGGGGTATACCGAGTCAGTAGTTGAAAAGTCCTTCCTCTAGTAGAACGCATAAACGGAGCCACTGTTTGGCAGGTGTCCTCTCATCTTGGAGGGGACATATACATATTCCCTATATGAATATATCCCTGATCTGTATTGAAATCTCTAGCATAAACTACTTTATAACCTCATTTACATGAGTCTGGTCGCTCTCTCTCTCTGGTATCTTTGGAGGTGGGATACTGCTTGTGACATCTTTATGTTATTCAGGGGCCTAACACACTGCAGTTAATAAACGTTGACTGAAATGAATGAATTGGCTTCTTGGCATCATATTTAAAAGTGAAATTTAGGAATCAAATGAAGCTGTTTAAAATAAGTCCATAGAGAAACTCGAGGCATTTATAGGTAAATGGTCACAACTAGAGACCACTCATAGGTGAAATAAATCAGACATACATGTGCAAGCACCACACTGTTTCACTAGTGTAAAACCTGAAAGAGTTAATTTAAACTAGGAGGTATGATAGACAGTGTGAAATGATAGGAAAGCACTCAAGGGTAAAGGGCAGTTGGGATGGGGGAAAAGACAAGGGAAAGAAGGGAGAAATTTTGTGTGTATGTATATACAGGATAGTTAATATAGTTGTTCTACTGTCTTCTATTTCTTTGCAGAAAGAAACTGTCAATGAGTCCTTGATTGATCAATATTGCATGTCTCTATCTGTTTTCATGAGAAACCACTTTGAAGATATCAAT